AGTTTTAAGTACATTTAAGCATAACTCAGGCAAAACTAATAATTAATTTATTACCTTTCGATAATTTCTATCCAGTGATATCGTACTGACGAGTTCAAAAAGAAAGCGACAAATTTTGTTGTGTACGGTGTGGTCACTCGTTATGGTCCGCAGTTGACAGTACAAGTGGTTAACCTCTTGCGCTAGAATAACGTGCCACGCACGTTAAATACTTTTTTGTCCCAAATTTGCAATAGTTTCTCAGTTTTAAGTACATTTAAGCATAACTCAGGCAAAACTAATAATTAATTTATTACTTTTTAATAATTTCTATCTAGTGATATCATACCGACGAGTTCAAAAAGAAAGCGACGAATTTTATTGTATACGGTTTGGTCACTCGTCATGGTCCGCAATCAGTTGCCAGGGCAAGTGATTAACCTCTTTCGCTGGGAATGACGTGCCACGCACGTTGAGTATTTTTTGTCCCAAGTATGCAATAGTTTCCCAGTTTTAAGAATATTTAAATATAACTCAGGCAAAACTAATAATTAATTTATTACTTTTTAATAATTTCTATCCAGTGATATCATACCAACGAGTTCAAAAAGAGAGCGACGAATTTTATTGTGTACGGTTTGGTCACTCGTTATGGTCCGCAATCAGTTGCCAGCGCAAGTAGGGGACATGGTACTTATATCGGAGCTTTCTTTTTTTTTGTAATACAAAATATAATACAGTACAATATGGTTGAAATAAATAAGCTATAATAGAATATAATAAATATAATTATAACGATCGTAGATATTCGTTTGTACGAGATATAATAACGTAAAATGGTATAATAGTTGAACAGTGACGTTTAGAGTGAAAGCTACAACAACGACGTGGGTAAAATATAGAAGAATTTCAAAAGTCAATTTTGATCATTTTCGTCATCGTACGAGGTCCAATTTTTTTCATTTTTTTTTTTTTTTTTTCCTCTGTTTCGAAGCTACATACGCTATGGGTACCCGGTTTTACCCTACTTTCCCCCACGTCGTTGCGAGTACGTCGCGAATTCGATCGCCAACTTGGCTCCTTCGTCGAAGCAGCCAACGTTTGTGCTGCCGTTGATCGAACCGTGAAAATTCGTGAACGCGCGCGAACACAGGGAAAACAGCCTGCGAGCTGTGAAAGAATGTAAACGAGCAAGTGTCGCGTTGCAGCGATTCTTTTCCACCGAGATGATCGACGTTCCAGCGGTGATCGCGGACGACTGCCAGACTGCGTTGGCCCAAGCGGAAGCAGCTATACGAGTGAGTGAAGATTCGATCGATTTTCAAGCCGGCTAGCAGCTCGCTACGCGCGCGTTTAATGCCGCTCCGTCAGCCATCGCTTTTCCACCGGTTTCAGAGGTACCTCGAGGACGAGCGAGCGACCGATTATCCGGAGATATTCGGCGTTGCCTGGATACGGAACAACGGACGTTTGAACGTCTGGAGGAGGATCCACCTGCTCCTTCGAGATCGAAAGCTCTATCAAACGAAAAAGGTAAGTGATCTGCCGAAGCGAGAGAACGCGCGAGCGTGTGCTATGCAGCGCAGCTAGTTACGCAGAAAGAAGGTCAAGGGAAGGAACGAGTCGAGTCATCGCCGCGACAGACCAAACGACTCTCTCTCTCTCTCTCCCTCGCCCCTCTCTCTTTAGTTTCTCTTTTCTCCATCTGTACACGCGCTCGATGATCGATCGTACATTCGCGTGCCAATCTACACGCAACGTACAGGGTGGAAGGAAAAGTTTGTCCGTGGATGAATTCGACAGCTTTCTACATTTGCGATGTGAATGAAACCTGTCGCAGAAAATTGATCTTGAATTTCAAAGTCAAACTTTTCCCAAAAAGAAACAAATAGGTGGCAAAACTGATAGTTCTCTTGAAAAATGGCAAAAGAGTTTCTTAATCATCTAGCGCGCGTGCTAACAGCGACTAACTTCACTATGGTTCTGAAATTAGGTTTCAATAACGTTTGACAGTGTGAGTCTAAATAATCGAGTGACAAAACCAACTGTTAACTGTTCGCTCGAGATGTAAAGGTTACATCCACGGTTACGTCCCATTTGCCCACTGCAAATTCACCGGTTTTCACGAGAAAACGCGAAACCATCGCGTACACCTTTCTAAGACAGTTTCCGCTTTCCTAGTTCCGCTTTCACCCATCGTGGATCGTCGAGAGTCGCCGCGCCGTTTCGCTGCTCTCGCCATTCTCGCGTCGCTCAGCTCTCCCCCACCGGGAGGTTCTTTCCTCTTTCGTCTCTCGCATCTCGAACGTCTTGAATAAAACTATACCTACGTATACGTAATTATAATTGTTTAACGTGGTTGAATAATTGATAATCATTAACATCGATAGCAAGAAAATGTAATATTTAAAATTTAGAAATGACGTAGAAAGAACTAGTCAAGCCTGGTCACGAGATATTCTAAAATGTCTAAAGTTTGCAAATATGTTTTATTTAGGTAACGAGATAGTAATTAATTACTTTGGTGTGCTCGTCGTTACAACAAAAATAAAAAAACTTGCCATTTGTTCGTCACTGGTATAAATCAAAGCTTCGTCAAAGCTAACACGAGGGATTAAAGATATTGAAGAATTAGGTTGACTGGTATTTCCTCGATCCACTGTCAAATCTTGTGAAAATAAAGACAGCATACTTTTCATAACATAAATCTATATTACAAGAAAGGGGGAAACGAGATATTTTTCCATAGTAATTAACGCGTGCCCGTATGATTGATATATCTTTGAATTCGCGGTGTACGTACATATATGTACACGTACGGAGAAACGTGTGCCCTGTCCAATAAAATAAACGTATAAATGTAACGCGAGGGATCCATTAGCGTTAGGCCCATAAAGTAATTGCGAAAATTACTTTGTGGAACCAGCCTTTCGCCCAAGAAGACACATTTCGGCCGAAAATCATCTCAATCGCGTAATAAAGAAAGGGCACACAAAGAGAGTCGTTTCCGTTTTATTAAAAGGGCACCAAGGGTGCCCTACTCGCTACCGCAGTCTACTTGGTTACCAGTCTACTTTTCGCGCAGTCGCATCACCTCTTGGCGTCCGTCGCCTATCATTCCCACAGAAATATAATATAGTCGAACAGTCGATCACAGAGTCGAGACAAAGATTTCCAGATCGGCTAGCAGCCGTTCCAATCGACAAGACTCTAGCTCTAGCTAGAGAACAAACGAGACAAGACGAGACGAGACGAGACGAGACGAGACGAGACGAGACGAGGTACGCTGTTACGTATATGTATGGTACGTACACGTCGCCGATTCGAAACGAGCCTGCACTCTGGCGGGGCGCGCCGCAGAGCGGCGAATCAGCCGGGGCTGAGGCTGACACACATTCGCCCTGGCAAAAGAGCTATTCTGCTAGGAACGCTACTCCCTGGGTCGACGACCTGCCTTCTGTCGCTTCCTCTTCCACCACCTTCCCTCCACGGCTCTCCTTTCTCTCCTCTTCTCTTCACTTCTCTTCTCCGCCGCTCCACACTTTCCTCTCTACCTCCTCCCTCCTCCTCCTCCACCTCCACGCTTCTCTTCCTCCGCTCTTTCATTATTTTCCATATACAGTTTCCCTCCTTTCTCTTTTCTCGCGCTTTTGTCAATCCTCTCCACCTCGTCGTCTCCACGTTTCCTTGCATTTTTACGCTTTGCGTCCCCGCTGCTCTTTCTTCCACCGTTTCTCTCTCCGCTCTGTTTCCTCTCCCCCCCGCTGCTCGGTAATTTTGGCATTCGTTTTGATCGCCTCTGCTCCACTACGATTCGCCGAAACGTACGAAACTACTTCGCGAACAATTCGACGAACGAGAGAGTTGGCGACCCTTTCTCTCACCCTCTTTCCCTCCCCATCCTTTGTTTTCTCTCCTCTGTCCGCGATTCGGACGCGGAACCACGACCCACCGCGGATCGAGGCTCGCGGTTCCGGAACGACGAGTCTGGCGACAGGGAAAACGCACCCAGCCCTTCCCCCCGCCCCTCGAGAAATGAAAATCACCAAGTTTCTACGACTGGCTTGTTGCCCGTTAGACGCTCGCGGCAACGTGCGTGCGTTTCCAACACTGACGATAAAACTAGAAAACTGGTCGAAACGACCAGTTTTTGCAACTCGTGTTGGAGATTTCACGGACGCTCGAAACAGTTTAAAGTTTTCTAGAAATGATTTAAATGATTTGAAAAGAAAGAAAGAAAAAAAAAAAAAAATGACGCACAACTTCTTCGAAAAGAAAACAATGTGCTTTGAAATTCAACGTTGAACACCTACCAGAATGGTCGAAATGACCAATTTGTAACTCTTCCGTCGGATATTTTTACGGATGTGAGACGGTTTTTAAAATTTTTAGAGAGTCGAATAATTTTTCGTAAAACGTACGAATAAAAGCTTATACGCTCTCCATTATATTATATTATATTATAATGTGTAATATATAGTATTATATTTTATATTGTAACCCAAACCTAACCCAAACTCTTCTGTCGGATATTTTTATATATATTGTATGTTATATATTGTAACCCAATTATATTATATATTATATGTATATTATATATTGTATAATTATATAATATATATATTATATTATATATATTATATAATTATATTATATATTATATGTTATATGTATATTATATATTGTAACTCAAACCTAACCCAAACCTAACCCAAACTCTTCTGTCGGATATTTTTATATATATAATGTATATTATATATTGTAACCCAATTATATTATATATTATATGTACATTATATATTGTATAATTATATTATATATATATTATATATATTATATAATTATATTATTTATTATATGTTATATGTATATTATATATTGTAACTCAAACCTAACCCAAACCTAACCTAAACTCTTCTGTCGGATATGTTTACGGATGTGAGGCAGTTTTTAAAATTTTTAGAGAGTCGAATAATTCTTCGTTAAATGTACGAATAAAAGCTTATACGCTCTCCATTATATTATATTACATAATGTGCAATGTATAATATCATATTATATATTGTATTGTAACGGTTTTTTAATTTAAAATCGTCGTTTTTTTACTCGCATCGCCGTAGATAGCTCTAGCGCCAATTCCGCTGGTTTTCGTCTGTCGTTTCTCCCCCCTCCCCCCTTCCCTCCCCACCCCACCCTCAACACACGCCGGTTGCCACGCCGTACCGGTACCGGTACCTATTCGCCACTCCGTTTCCCTCGTTCAAGGTGTTGGACAAACACAATGCGCTTTCGCAATGCGCGCGCGATATCACATTGCGTCCGCTGCATCCACGTCATTGTTCGCGTCCGCGGTGCGTAACGCACCACTATGACCGGAGCGGGTTCGTGGTTTTTCGTTTCCATCTGACACACTGGCCAACGCCGAGAGTCTGCCCAACTCTCAATCGTCTCGCGTCCACCATTGGTCACTTCCCCCCCCCCCCCCCCCCGACGTTGTTACGTTCACGTAAGGCTGTAATTAAAAATTACACTTTACAGGTTTACAGAACTTTTTGTTTGTTCGATAACAAAACGAGACACTCCCGGTACTTGTACATACAGAAATGTTAAAATACTGGCTGTCGCACTTTAACGCTGCAATGCTACGTTACCCATGGTCTCCAGTTGAGCGTCCCCCTTTTTTTTTTTGCCAGTTAAACGTCCGTCGTTGTTCTCACCAATTCTTGGAATTGGTACTATCCTCACTCTACGCTACCTTACCACGCGGTCGCGTGAAATATGACTACTTGCACACATGCACTCACACAGGCACAAAACAAGCGATATACATATATGACAGCGATATTCGTGTCCGCTGTCCGATCTCGATCTGTGCACGCTTTACTGGGGAAGCTACTCTGTGTATACTGTCTGTGAATCCTTTTTTACTGCGCTTATACAGGGTGGGCCAAAAATCGCTTCCTACTAAAATAAATCCGTAATTTTTTATTTTTCATTATACGTTTAATAAAACTAGTTCTGTTTTCTCATATTATTTCACGTTTTATTAAAAATAAAAAATAAAAAAAATTTATATCGTTAAAAGTATTTATATTTTTATAAATTTATATTTATAAAAATAAAAAAAAAAGAAACAGATGGGGAAAAACTTTTGGCCAACCGTATACATATTGTATACCCTTTCCGACTCGTAGCTTTTTGGTCGCCGGTGAAAGACCTTAGGACGAGACTCGTACGTGACTAATTTCTAAACGGACGACGCGAATCCTGCGAGATCTCTCGTTTCTCCGATCGCGTTCGATCGTAACGAACATACATATGCACGCTGCTTTTTGTTTTTATACTCGTTTATCTCGTCACGCTCGATTCTCTCTTTCTCTTTCTTCTACCTTAGCAACGCCTAATTATCAGCGGCCGATCGAACTCTCGGTCGATCGAGATTTTGCAACGAACCCTGAGAGCGACGGTGCGCTCTATCGATCTTCCCGAGAGTCAACGAGGAATTCTCAACGGGTGTTTCGACAAATTTTCTG